CCTTGGTGGTAAGACGCTTGGCTGCTTGTCACCCACCTTGATGGTGTCAATGTATGTGTGGACGGTGATGGCGTGGAAGGTCGTCCATAGGCCACACGTGTAGCCCCTGTATCGTCCCGAGGATCCCTCACAGTGTTGCCACGATGAATTCGTAGGGAATGGCCGGGCGTACACGCGCTGGAAAACGGGGTTAGTAGTTTTGCGGGTACGATTTTTGTATGTGTATCTTGAATGCGATTTGGGTAAGAATCCAGATACCCCCCCCCCAGCCGGCCCACAACTTTTGTATTTCGGCTCCCTGTTCATCTACAGGTGTGTAAAGTATACGAAAAGGTTCGTCTTGCTCTGGCGAGTATTTTGGTTTACTTTACACACCTGTAGATGAACAGGGAGCCGAGATACGCTAGGCGGAGGCCGGCTGGGGGTTATCTGAAGTCCAGCCGGCATTTGTTGGTGCCCACCTCAATCATCTCAAATTGGCGAATCCATCCTGAGCGAGGGGAAATGGCCGTAGCCCTTCCGTGCCTCCAGCCATTCCCTCATATGCGTGAAGACGAGGCGGGCACGCTCCGAGTTCTTCAGAATCTGCACAAAAATGGGGCATAAGATTTTTGCTGACTTTTTGCATACCGTCGACGAGGTCCTCTTCTTCCTCACCGTCCGTCGCAGCTCTATCGAGAACAGAGAGCACCGGGAAGTGCTAAAAATATTCGGGTGGTTTTAGAGCTGTAATTCTTAATTCTGTATAAAAAAACAGGCAAAAATTAAATTTTAAGTTTTCTAAATAAAATCTAATGGGCATTGAATGCAGAAACACGGGTATTTTCGCCTGATTCATGGGAAAACATACAACAAATATCGATCTTCGACTAAGAAAATAGATTTTTTTAAAGACTTTTTAAGGTTTCGTCATAGCTATTCCAAGTGCTAAAAATTTAGGCGTTTTTGTATGTTCACCTTTATATTAAACCAATACAACAAATATCGATTTTTTTAAAGCCGAAAATTGCCGATTTTCGACCAAAAAATGATTGTTTTCAAGATAAAATTTTTTTTCTGAATAGCTTTTCTGCTCAAAAATAGCTAAATCTATCACAGATTTGCGTTTTTCACGACAAACATGTGAATTATTGCCGACAAGGTCACTCACATTGGCGAGAAGATCGACAAAGTTGTAGAGATTGGTGAAGTTGTCCCCCTGCACCATGCCGCCGTGCACGTCACGCACCTAAACACCGAATTTCCAGATTGTGGCTTGCACTCACCGAGTCGTACAGGGCCTGGTGCATCGATTTGAGCATGTCCGTTTCGGAGACGTAGAACATGTCGGCGCACCTGAATTCTGGGGGTTAGAATTTCCGGCAGAAAACTAGGCTGAACTCCAGATAAACTCCCCCGCCGCCAGCCGGCCTCCGCCTGCCGTATCTCGGCTCATTGTTTATCTACAGGTGTGTAAAGTGTAACAAAATACTCGCCAGAGCAAGACGAACATTTTGGTATACTTTACACACCTGTAGATGAACAGGCGGCCGAGATACAAAGGTGGGGCCGGCTGTGGGGAGGGGGGGGTATCTGGAGTCTTACCGAAAACTACATACCGGTCTGGGAATCTTGCACAATCGACGACGGGTGCCAGGGTGGTGGTGATGGGGCGGAAGGTGGATGTTTGAATATTCTGCACGGGCATCACGTGGTGGCTGGCCCGGTCGGCGTTGATGGCCGCCTCGATCGCCGAAGGACGCGTTGTGCACGCTGGAAAATCGAATGTTGCTTCCAAAATTTGAATGGTGATCTACCGGCTCATGTAGATGGCCTGCTGGTGGTCACGGCGGAAGAGGGCAACCGACGGGAACTCGCGAATTCGCAGCATCTGCACCAACGGCGAGTTGGAGAGGGCGCGGCGGGTGCCGACAATCCCTCGCTTCTCCCACATGTCGAGTTGGAACTGAAAGAGGTTTTGGTGAAGTTGCAGCGCTTCACAACTTTTCACGCTTTGGCCCCCCTCCCCCGATACCGCGCTCAAAGCGGAGCACCAAGATTTTCCGGTAAAGATTGCTTAACGGGGGGGAGAATAAACGGGGGTGGAAACCATTTTTTCCTATAGGCCGTGTCGTGCCAATTCAAGCATGCCATCGGATAGAGCGTCGAAAATTATACTAAGCGATTTAATTAACAATGAGGTTTTGTTCTCTGAGTAAAATTTTTGCCGCTATAGCCGATGGCATTTTCAAAGTAGCAGGATATTCTTTATAAATACAAAAAATGTTTCCACGCTAATTTTATCCGCCCCCCCACGTTAAGCAACCTTTACCGATTTTCCAAACCCGAAAAGCCCCCGAATCAAGCTTCTCGATGTGGATTGCCGTTCTGGTACATACAAACCAGGGGGCAAACAGATAGACTTTTTTTCGAGAATCTAAGTCGAGGACTCGAGTCGCGCGCGCAGGGGCTTTGATCCCTCTCGGCGACGATCGAAGTTCTGTGCTGTTTGGCCATCTTTGATCAGATGAGAGAGAGGGGAGAGAGAGAGAGAGAGAGAGCGAAAGAGGAGAGAGAGAGAGGGAGAGGGGGAGAAAAAAGGAGGCTTGTAAACACTACGTGATGCACCCATCGACAAATCGAAGACGGACCACGAGACCCCGGGCCGCAGAACACCCCCTCCTTGTTTGCTAATTTGTGCTTGATGAGGGATGACTAGCGTTGGGAGCGGTTTAACGTACCTTGGACTTGAATTTTGAAAAATTTGGAAAACTGTAAAAACATACCCTTGCCCCGACACCATCGCTGATTTTGAAGACGATTGCCATGTAGTCGGCAGATTCGGGATCACCTTGCAGGGAGTTGGCCGTATGTTGGCAGCCTCTAAATAAGGTTACCACAATCAGTTCACGGACTGGAAGGGAGAGAAAGAGCAGGGAGGGAGCCAGAGAGAGAGAGAGGAGAGAAAGAGAGAGAGAGAGAGAGAGAGAGAGAGAGAGAGAGAGAGGAGATGAGAGAGAGAGAGAGACGGAAATGGAAGTTGAGTACCCTATCACGCCCCGTTAAAACTAACCCGTCAGCTTGAAGCAGGGTGAACTTGGCCAATCGGGGTGCCGGTTGAATGCGTACTCGTTGGAGATGGACCTAAACCATCGAAATGAATGTTAAGGAATTTAAGTTCCAACCTCAACAACGCGTCCCTGATGCCGTCGGCAGAATGCTGTGGGTCCATATGGACGGCATCGCTCGGTCGGCGGGCCGTTCGCGCAAAGTACTGTAACGGAATTGGTGCCAAAGATCCTATATTTTTGTTTACACTTAGGCGTTGGGAACTCGCTGATGCCGTTGGCCTTGCAGACGTCGACGTTGTAGCTGTCCGCGCAGTTCATCACCGCCACCGTAACCACCTAAAAATAGGGTTTTTGGTTTTAGCGTTTTCACGCATATTTGGCTATAAAATTCGTGTTTTCGATACCTTGTTCCATCCAAACACTTGGTTGGCGAATTCGCGGAAATAGGGGACGAAGGCTCGACAATGCCCGACCTGGAAATCTTATTTTGATAAGAATACCGCAATTCTATATTTCTACGGTATCCACCATCTCATCACAATTTTCTAACATTTCTATTTTCCAGCTTTTTTCTAGCTACAGGCCCCGTAAACAAGCCGTTTTATCTATTTGACTTGCACGCTTGGGGGGGTCAAATTGTCTGTTTGTCGAGTGTCGCTGTCTGCCGCCGGTGTGGGACCCGGATGGTACTGTCGCTCTCTCTCGCCAGCCATATCTCGCTATGCTCTCCCTTCGTTCGCTTTCGTTCTCTCTCTCTTTCTCTCTCTCTCTCTCTCTATCCCTCTAGCGTTATCCCAAAAGCCGTGTTTGTTTGAACCGGCTGACGATCTCTCAATCTTTTGCACACTCGATTGCTCGCCGAGATTGTCTGAGCTCTCTTTTACTCGCACTGTCCTCTACCCTCTCTCGTTTTTTTTTTCATTTTTGATTTTCGCTCGTTTTGTCACCTGTCTTTTCGGAAGCCTTTGGATTCTAAAATAACAGCAGTTGGATACTAAAACCGCCATTTAAGATTGCGATCATTGTTAAATCGTAGCGAGCTTCTCTATCTTATCTCTCTCTCTCTCTCTCTCTCTCTCTCTCTCAAGCTCTCTCTCTCCCCCTCTCTCACTCCCCCCCCCCCTCTCCCAAGATCAGCTGTGCGTGAACCGGCCCTCATCGAGACTGAGGGATGGGTCCTCGAGAACTGATGAGGGGATTAAGGAGTCTTGTAAGAGTGGGCCCTTTGTCTCAACGTTTTTTCGGGCCAAATCCCCCTCGATCTATCGGTTTCTATGTACAAATGGCGATACTCTACAATTTGCTAGTGATACCAAGAGCAAACAATTTTTCTAGGCACCCGAATCGTTGCCCCGAAAGTCAAAAGTTAAGTCGGGTTGGTGGGACTGCTCTAGAAAATAGCACCAAAATTTTTAGGCATTTTTGCAATTCTTTGTGGCGGTGTAAAATCGATGATGCAACTAGGGTATAGGCAAAAGGGGAAAAACCGACCAATCAGCGTAGAACTCGACGACAAACGACTTGTCCTGGGCGAAGACCGTGTCGGCGAATGTGTTCTGTAAAGAGAAAAATGTGTACTTGCTTGGCGGCGCTTGACGGCATTTCAAGTTCACCGAGAGCAGGTAGCGACAACAGCAGGGTTCTTTAGGATAAGCAGCTGGAATTTGCTTGACTACTGTTCCTAAACGTGAAAACTTTACAAATTTTTATCTACAACATCGAAATATCGGGTTTTTTTGACCAAAAAGGAAGATTTTGGCGAAAATCTTCACTTTTGTTTCAATAAACAATTTTTTAAGGTTTTAGATAGTTTTTCCAGTTTAAAGATGGTAAGATAAGACTAAAGACTTATTAAAAACACTATTAAAATTTACTAGGTATTTCTAGACTCATAAAAAAAATTCCGTTGCTAAATTTGCTCTTATCTCTTTTTATCTTCCAACATACCTGATCGAGATGCATGATCGGCTCGAACCCCGGGGTGTACAGGGTCGGGGAAGAGCCCTGGGGCACGTAGTTGTACGATGATTGGTACCCCTCGGCCACCGCTGCCATTAATGCCCATACTGTCGTCGTCCACACGGCCGCCCGCCGCATTCCTCTGAAAAATTTGCATAAAAGGGATGGCGTAAGCAAATTGATTTACATATTAGAGAGGGCGGAACAGGCGAAATACGGCAAAAACCAGTACCACCTGAATCGGCAGTTATGCAAAAACGGGCTGAAAAATTGATCGCAATATTTTATGCAAATTAGCTCATGGATTTGCACTGGAATAAAACAACCGTTTTCTAAAAATCTAAAATCATTTAAATTTAAATCAATATTCGACATATTTTAGATCGGAAAATCCATATCCAACCCCCAAAAAGCTGAAAAACGCCCCCGCCCAGAAAATTTCGAATTCAACAGCCGCCGTTTTATTCGGGCCATAAATCAAAAAAAGCGGCAGCGATCGGAAATTGACGGCGATAAACCGCGGGAAAGTACCGTAAGAAAATTGGCGAAAATTTAGCATTTAAAAAAAGTTTCAACTGTTCACGTTTCTGTCGGAAAGCATTAAAAATGCGTCCAGCTTTCTTTAAATAATTTATCGGCGGTTGGCCATCACAGAAAAGTTCCGCGACAATCCGCGCCGGGACCCCGTCCGTCCTTTTCTACCCGGGCAAGGCCACAATTGAAATGCAAATTTAGGAGAGGGGAGAAAGGGGGAAAAGTGAGGGAAAAGATGTGACGCAAGGAGGGCGCTTGATCGAGAATAGCTTGTTTGGCGATTTTCTGGTCCCGAAAATGGTAAAATGGGAATTCTGACGTCGGTGGAGGAGGTGAATCAGGGATGAGAGAGGGAGGAAGATCGAGATTGACAAGATCTTGGAGGGTTCGAGGGAAAGTGCTAAAAATTCGACATTGAAAATCCCGGCAGCATAGAAATATCGACATCCGAAATCGCGATACGCTAGAATCACATGGCGAAAACCGCGATATTCAAAATCCTGACCCTCCCAGAGCCGACGCTCAAAATCCCGACAGGGGAGATTATAACAGGCCAAGATATCGACAACCAAAACGCCGATGGACGCAATAACGACACTGGAAAACTTACGAGATAAAATACACTTCGAAATCCCGACAAGCAAAAACTCGACAGGCCAAAATCCCGACAGCCAAAATCCCGACTGACCAAAATCCCGACAGGTCAAACACCGATAGGCCAAAATCCCGAACAAGCCAAATTCGTAGCTCACTAACTCAACTGAATGGCACCCGCGGTGTCCATGGGTGTATATTGTCCCAACAAGGCCAAGGACACCCTCCCATCCATCCCTTGGACACCGTAGGAGTGTCCGACCAAAAGCTGACCACAGAATTTCCGAGAAACCCGGCCGGGTCCTCCCCCTTGGCCAGTGAGGCGTGTAGTTGTGACTGGTGTGTGTGGAGGGTTATTTGGAGAGGACAAATAGAATTCGTTGGAAAGATGAAGAAGAAAGAAAGGAGGAGGCCAGTAGAATGGCCCTCGGAAGGAGGAGGAGAAGCCCCCCAACCATCCATTCTGGAACACATCTAGCAAACCTTCAGGTAAACAGTCTCCACCCCTTTTTTTCTTTCTCTCTCTCTCTCTCTCTCTCTCTCTCTCTCTTCCAATAGATACACACACCGCCATCCCTTTACAATCTTAGCGACTCGGGTCATGGGAAAGTGGTCTCGCAGGCTTGTAGAATTACTGCAATTGGAGAAACACCTAAATGGTAGAGGTTGAACGAAGCTGCAGCGACCGAAGCTAAGCTTAAGCCTACATCGAAGCCTAACCAAAGACTAAGCCTAAACCGAAGCTTGGTGGAAACGGCGATGCAAAGACGAAGCCCAACCTAAGCCTCAATCTAAGCCTAGCCTAGGACTAAACCTAAGCCTGTCCTGATCCCAAAAACCTAAGCCTGCAGCTTGCGCTTGCTTCCGCGCCCCTTTATTACTAAATTTTGCGGAATCTACCACTTTCAAAAATTTCGAGCGCAATGACCCGAACTGGCGGTCTTCGCCTTCTGCTAGGTGGAGAGCTGAATGTTGTCAGACATTCTTCGCCAAATATTCTCGAGGTTTCGACGCGACGGCCATCGGGGGGATGTCTCTGCGAACTTCCGGGATTCGACGCCACGACCCCCGCTTTTTGTAGCCGCCGCGCCCTCCACACATACAGGTTGACAGTAAAGAGGGGTGAGGAGGGGAGGAGGGAGAGAGAGAGAGAGAGAGAGAGAGAGAGAGATAGAAAGGGAAGAGAGGGCATTTGGTGAATGGTTTCTCGCTTGCAAGGAAATGTCCGTAAACTTGAGTTTAGGGGGATGACGAAAAAACCACTCCGTTGTTCTTGGAAAATTAAGCAAGGCTATTCATAAATTCATCTTTTTCTTTCTTTTAAAATTATAATCTCTTTTAATAGAATAAACAATAGGTGAGCCCCAAAAAATGTTAAAATCTAGGGAAATCTAGTGGGGTGAGAGAGAGAGATGGGCAATTTCAACCACTCGACGCTCCGCAAACAGGTTTCGATGCCGAGCCCTCGATTTTACACCCTGGGAACCAAGCTAGAATTCCGAACGAATGAATACCATAGAAAATTAAGAGTTATATGATGTGCTATTAAAGAAACTATGAAGGTAAAATCATGAGCTTTTTAACGTTAAATTCTGGTAAAATTCGAGGTCCTATAATTCGGTGACAGAATTAAAAAATCTCCTCATCTGGTTTGTTGTCCATAAAATAATTTAATCAGTATTTTAGCGTAATTTCGAGTAATTTAGTGACTAGTAAGAAAGAGTATTGAGTAAAATACCAACGAGCTTTCACGGTCCCTTTAGGAGAAAGCAGGAAAAGTCTGGCAAGCGCCGCTTTTCCGACTCTACCGTAACCTTCTGGGTGCTAGGGTAAAAAAAGCAACTTTCCGTCAGGTTCCAAACGACAAGCCAGGCTGGCAAACAGAATTTGAATCCAAATGAGAGCCCCTGGGGGGTCCTGGAGGGGGAAAGCCGATATAGCCATCAGAGAGTGAGAGGGAGAAAAAGTAGGGGGAGAACAATGGGGCAGTGGGCGGGGATCCGTGTTTCTCTCTCTCTCTCTCGCTCTTCCTCTCTCCCTCTCTCTCTCTCAGCCGGGAAAAGCTCTGTTCGCACTGTCTGTCGGTATGTCTGTTTGTATGTCATAATTTGTTTGTCCATCTGTCTGTCTTGATCAGCCCAAATTTCGCATCTTTTGGAGGAGGGGGGATGGTCAGGAATGGGATAGCATTGTCTCGGGAATTGAGGATGGCCCATTCTCGCATCCCGAATATAGCCCAATTTCCCGCCTCAGGGCTTGGACAATAAAAACAGTGCGTTTGGAAACGGAAATGGCATTCTGTTTGTTTGGAAAAAATTTGAAGTAGAGGCTGTTGATGGGATTGGCGCGGAAAATCAAGGGCAAAAACCGGCCAGATGGCAAGTACACCTGACGAATTTGGAATCGAGTACGCAGCTGGACTATCGATGGCGTCATTTTTGGGGCGAGTCACTGATCAAGGCCACCGTGCAAAAGAGCATACGTCTAAAGGGTAAAGAAGTAATTGAAAAAAAAAGAGGTCTATTACCTGGAAGCAAAGCCTAAACCAAAGCTAAGCCTAAGCCTAAGCCAAAGCCAAGGGGGCTCACCGTGGCTTGTCAAAGAGCGGTAAGATCAAAAACGAGAGGCACCGCGTGAAGGCGCGACGAGCGGAATTAGGTGTAATCCGGATTTTCGTAAGGTCAGAAGGGAGCCATTTCGAGGATTAACCTTGCCTAGTTCTCAGGGTTGTCGAAAATTGCTTGCAAAAATTGGAAGAGTACCGTAATACATTTTCAGCGGACCAAAAATCTGTCAGGAAAGTGTTGTGGGACGCAAGCCGTTTGCTAAGGTTCAAGCTTACGCTTAAGCTTCGTCGTGCTTATACTTGGCCTAAGGTAAGCCGCAGGCTTAGGTTTTGGCTTATGTCTAAGCCAAGCATCAAGTAGGCTTATAGGCGTAGGCTAAGTTTTAGACTTGGGTTTGGGCGTAGGCTACATTTAAGTGTATCCTCAGGCTTTGGCTTAGGCTTTTGCCCAGGCGTCGGCTTAAAAAGGTATTTTGTGGAGTCAGCAAAAAAAAATAAAAAAAAATGCATAAGAAAAATAAAATTCTATTCAATATAATTCTCCGGTCCTTTTTTTTCGGAATAACTACCATCCATTTTTTAAATAAAATAAAAAATGGCGTCCCTTTCTTTCGTGCGTTCGAGAAAAAAAAGATTTTTTCTCGAATCTCTCGGCGGAGGTGCTGCGCGTAAGAGGATTTGCATTAAAAAAGCACTCTTGTTAGAATTGCGCTTTGAGCGTTGCTGGAAAATCTTTTAAATTTCCAACTCATTATTTTTCACCTCCTGAAACGTTCGGCCATTTGGCTAGACGCCAAAGCAGTAAATTTTGACCATAAAAGTGAAAATTTTTTTGATTCTGTTGATGTAAAACATTCCATCAACCTCTCACTTAAGTAGTGTTGATGGTTGTTTGTCGGGAATCATTTTGGGGGCAGGTTAGGGGATCGTATATAGGTGGGGCGATGGGCTGATATTCTCACTTCTTCTTCTTCCTCTTCTCCTCCTCCCTCTTTCACATCGTCTACAGCTGCAATGTGTGCTTCCTGATCGTGGCTGGCGCCAGATTTCGGCGCTTCGCGACGACGACGACGCGACTGGCGCCAGCCCGTGGGGGGATCTCCCGGCGAGAGAGTGGGGAAGGTGGAGAGGGTTAGGGATGGAGAGCAAACATTAGGGGGGTGGGCCAAGACTGGGCGAAGGGACCCACGTGAACAGCTACTGGACTGGACCCACTGAGTCGATTCTGAACGGGAGTGAGTGGAGTTGTTTTCGTCGCGAAATTCTGCAAAACTGAGTGGGGGAACCACGGGGGGTCAGATGATGAAGCCGGGGAAAAGCATCTTTGGTCCCGGTGGTGTCCAGGGATCTTTTGGTCAAGATTTTTTGGTGTATTTAGTGGGTCTCGGCTTGGCTTAGGCTTAGGCTTATTGTTTTAGGCTTAGGTTTAGGCTTAGACTTATGC